TTTGTGCTATTGTTGTTTTCTATACTGATCCATAGGCTTAATTGTGTGTTTTATTTGCATAATAGCAACGATTTCTACCTCTGCCAAGGAATTATCTATTCAACGTTGTAAATGTCTGGGTACAATTGTACAATTGTGTACAATTTTTCAATTGAGAATTGACAATAAAATACGCGACGACTTGGTAACGAAAGTTTAGTTGAAGTTTTTTTAGATCCAGTCGTAAGGGGCGTCCCATTGTTTGTATTCCCACCATGCATTTCGGTAGAACACTTTTTTGTGTGGAGCTATCTTGTGTTTCTAGTATCAGTGGTAAATCCTTCTTCAGACTGAACTAAACTTTATTGAACAACGCTTTTATAATAGCGGCACACGACATATAGAAGGTGCGTTCAAACAATATATAAGATTGTAACTTAAAACCACAAAAATACAAGGAAAATAATGAAAATTAAATATTTCATATACACATGTACATAAATATATGCAAATAAATAAATAATAACAATTTTAACTTAAAGTAATACTAATAAAAAAAATGAATAACTGCTTCTTAGTTTAAATTTAATTGGATGGTGGTACGGTATTTAAGATTTTAGTCCTGAAATTGCATACGTCAGTCAGGTACTTTTTTCAATTGTAATCTACAATTTCGCCAATTTTCTCAGATGGAAACATTGAGTACAGATCATCAAGTAAAATATGGTGTTTGTACTCAATTGTTCCAAATTCGAATTCCTCCCAGAATGTTCAATAGTCCCAGAATAGTAATCATTTTTAAAATTATGAAAATGATTTTCTCAAACTAAGTCTATTTTGTTAAACTAAGTCTATTACAATGGAAATGAAAGTGATAAGTATCTTCAATTATATCATCCTTACAAAGTTTACAAAAACCTGGATTATCAGTTTTGGACCATTTACATTTCCTACCTTCTAGATCAAGAGTGTCAGTTCTTGTTTTAAATTTTAAAATGACAGATTCAAAGTTGGTCATATCAAAAATATATTTTTCTACATCTGGTTACGCTATATTTTGATTTTGCCCTGTCAAACCATCTTTTAGCATTTTTTAATGAATTTTTGTAAACAAAAGATTTCTGCCAAGTATTACCAATTTCCAAATTAAAATTATCAATTATGTCAAATTTACGCAATAACTCTTGAATATGGTTAATCCAATTCTACTTGACATTATTTTTTTAACTTCAATTAGTGCTTTACATAGCAATTTTGGCCATCTACTTTCATCCATATTTTTTATTCGATTAAAGTAACTCACTCTAAATTTATTTTGTATGTGTTCGACAGACTCCCAACCTAGATCGCCAAGAAGAGCTTCTTTTGCCACATTTCTTGGTGCTTTGAGAATTATTCTCGCCATTCTGTATTGTAGGTTTTCTATTTTTTCAATAGAACTATTAGAATTACATAACCATACGGAGCTTGCATAGTTTATGGTAGGAAGCCCTATGATTTTCCATAAAAGATCTCCGTAGTAAACTCTGTTAAAATTGTCATGATTAGTAAGAATAGAACTTATATGTGCAATTATTCTATTACCCTTCTTAATTACATCTTCAATTTGTTGATTGTCATTGTAAGAACGAGAAATTTTTATACCAAGATATTTATATTTATCGGTTTCATAAATGAGTTTGGTACCAAGATTCAATTTTTTTATGTTCGTTAGTTTTTTGTCCAGTAATTAATACATTAGATTTATGATAATTGAATTTAAGTTTCCATTGTTTAGAAAAAAACAGTAGCTACTTGAAGGAGTTTATTAAGGCTCAACTCACTGTCTCCAATCAACACAACATCATCGGCCTAAAAAAAAGAGCACCAATTTGAGTGCCATATATATGAACACCTAATTTATTGTCAATAATTGATTTATTAATCTCATTCATATAAATAGAAAAAAGTGTTGGAGACAACGAGCACCCTTGTTTATCTCCTTCATTAATACTGAACATTTCAGATTCCAGATCATTAAAACGAACTTACAACTAACATCAGAATAAATATTTTTGATCAAGTTATAATTACTTTGCCTTTGATTCCGATACGTTTAGCGGCTGTTATAAGACCTTGACGCCAAACAGAATCAATGGCTTTTCTAAAATCAATAAAAGCCAAGTATGTTTTTTTCCTTCTGCTTGTCTTGTAGCAATAATACTTTTTAGGACAAACATTTGATCCTCGCATGTCTATCCTTTCTAAAGCCGCCTTGGACTTCAGTAAGAATATCATTTTCTTCCTTAAAATTAGAAATGTTGTGAGATAGAATTCTATGAAATACTTTAGCTAATAACACATGAACTGAGTGTTATCCCTCGATAATTAAGGTCGCGAGTATCGCCTTTTTTAAGTATAAGTATAATTGTACCTTCATTCCACTCGTTCGGAATACATTTAATTAAGGTAAATAGTTGTTGAAGCGATCTGGTCAATGAATCACCCCCATTTTTAATAATTTCATTAGTGATACCGTCAATACCTGGGCTTTTATTGTTTTTAGATTTTGAAATAGAATATGCCACATCTTCAAATGAAATATCAATATGATCTAATACTAATGAAGATTCGTCCGACGATTGAAACATATTGTGCTCAATACTTTCATCAAAATTAATAATATTACTAAAGTGAGATTTAAGAATATTATTTCATAGCATTTGGATTAGATGTATAAGTAGATGTACCTGGGATTAAAAAAGAATCAACTTTTTGATTATGTTTCTTTCCTTTAAGCTCGTGCCAAAATTGTTTTGTACTTGGTCCACCTTTCTCCATTATCAAAGAACATTTATGGACCTTTTTTGCATAATCTTACGTTTGAAAAGCGACCTACGTTTCTCTTGATAAGTTTCCCAAAGAGAGTTACAATGATTGACATTGACAGTCAATATTATTTCTTTGCTTGGAATAGAGTCGATGGGCTCTACAAGATTCAAGACGTTCACTGATAGCGATTTTGGATTCTTTATCGAACCATATTTTAGGATTGGATTGGATTGGATTGGATTGGGTCCCATTCATTAAAGGTAAAATTAATTTCATTTTTGAATGCACTCCAAACTTTGGGGATATTCCAATGAAGACTATTTGACGTAACTGTGTGGTTGAAAGAAAGATCGTTCATTTTCCTCATGAAGAGTGACAACAAGCATATTATATGTAATGCTTTGAACCTGTCAGAAGGCAGAAAACCAATGTTAATACTCTGTGTATTAAGCCAGGCACTTGCTGCGCCCAGAGGTCGTCACCTGATGCAATTCTGCAGAGAATGCAATGCCACAGAGTAGCACACCAGCAATCAGTTAAACTAAAGCTCTTGTCCAGATTTTTTTTATATCAAATTTGCTTTGACAAAAAACTGTTGACCCATATCCAGTCATGATGTGCCTATATATTATATAGCCATGGTGTGATGTCGTCATTGCCATATTTGGCCATGTTACATGTTTTGTCAAATACAATTTAAATAGTCTAGACAGGACTTAATAATTCTCAAACTTTTTGGCTGATGACCCATACAAACATGCTGGAAGCTTGCCATGACCCACTATCCAGGTCGGTAAACTTATTATTGGTCATTAACTTTTGGTCATTTTTTTGGTCACTATTGGTCATTAACAAAGTACTAACTTAAAAAAATCCCAGAGAGTCTCGCGGCCCCCCCCCCCTTTTTTTTTTGGTGATCCAATTTTGCGTCACAGCCTATGGTTTGAGAACCTCTGTGTTAAACAACAAAATAGTTTCCCCAAATGTGCCGTTCATGATAAACTGGCTCATCTATTTTAAAATTATTTTCCTACAGGCTTTATTGAAAGAACTGATTCTTAACTGTGACGGCCAGCTAAAATCCGAGATCACCCAGATTGCAGCATTCTACGAACACAGGTTACAGATGGGTAGTAAAGTAATATATCACTTAGAAGCATTCGTTCATGAGTATATATAAACGCTTCTTGGAGGATGGTCTCGAAGCCATGATGATGTATATTATACAGTATTATGGAATTTTACCGGAAATCAATTTTTTTTTTTGGCATTCTGTCCAACTTATTAGAGAGGTTTCGCACGCAAACAAATACGTGTATGCATACGTTTAGCTATCCGTAACGGTTTGTAGCCATTCTGTGTTGTTATGCAATCACAGCGCAATTCAAGCGTAGCCTAGGCTTAGGGCCTAGGCCTATACAGTACTCTTTTAATTTCTCTCATCATGCTTCTCAAAGTTTTATTAGTAGGGTTTTTAGGAAATTGAAAATTGTAGCCGAAAAATACTTCCTTTGTTGCCTAAAAGAGTTGGTTATTCTGTGATAGGCCCTAATGTTTATGACCCAAAAGTGCCTGGCTACAAGGTAGACTTAGGCCTACACAGAATCCTGACACAACCAAGGTAAAAACACCGACGTTTTGATACCCCAAAATGAGACGCATCCTATCGTAATTTGCTGTTGTAAAATTTCACAAAAATGGCATGTACGTAGTTAAAGATACATTTACTTTTTACACGTATGTAAAATGTGAAAAAATAAACGATAATCCTACTAGAAATAAAAAAAATCCCTACACGTTTGTAGTGAGCGAGGTATACATGTCGTCCACACGTTTAGCAGATAGCAGCCAGTGTATGATGTCAAAATGATGACGTATTCGTCAAACTAACTGTACGCGTTCTCGTGCGAAACCTCCTTTATGTAAATGCTTGAATAAGCGCTGCACTCAATAAGCTCACGGTGCTTAATCTAGAGTATATGTTATTCTGTGTGTAATGAAACACTTTGAGAAACAGGGTTTTAAATACATTGTATACAATGTTAAAATGAATAAATAACACAATGAAGACACCAGCGTTCCTTTATTAACATTTGTTTATGTCGATTAAGAGTTCCCCTATTAAACAGAGATTGCAGATACGACCTACCGCCGATCTACGATAGCCTCTTGTCACATGATTATAATAATGAAATGCATTAATGCCATTGACTATGAAAGGAAACTATTACATTTAACATGACAAGCCATTAACAAAATAATTACAAGCAATAAAAACAATATCAAAGATAAACTAGGCAGGACAGAAAGAAAACATACAAAAAAAATAAGAATCTATTACTAGAGGTAGTATTAGTATCCTGGCTTTAACGGCCGCCTATACAAAAAGAAAAAAAAACGAAACAGAATCTATTAATCGAGTATTCCTAGAGCTCCTTTATATGAGCTAAAAAGTAATATTTTCTAGTGAAATTTGTAAAGGTAATTCACAACTGGTTATATTAAATGTTGCTGTATACAGTATGTTAAATAACAAGCAATTAACCACAACCCCAAACCAAAATACGTATTTATATAATATTATGTCTTATCAAGCATATACAGTACAATTGTTATTGTCATTCTATAATACTACTTAATGATTTGTCAGAACATCATATATCATGCTCTTCGGTCATCAACGGTGACTTTGATAAGCGGTGAACAGTTGATTATGGAAGAGAACATGCGCAGTATCCAACAACTGTGGAGAAAACAAATGTAAATATCTTGATACAGTATATAAGAAATGTTAAAAAAACTTTTGAAAGAAATCGACAAAATATGATTACAGTATTTGCTGGTAAATAATGTAGTGTTGACGGTTTTCGAAGACGATAAAATTTCAAAGCAGTTAACTTTCGTTGAGCCCTGCTTCTTGGATATTGTTACTAAGGTCCCACAAAAAGGAAAGCGTAAACGTGTTTGTGGGACAACATGTGTTTGTGAGACAAGTGCAGCGTATACGTGGCCATATTTTGATTGGTCAGTTGTTTAATTTGATTAGCACTTCTGAAAGGTCCAGCACCATACCTCAAAATACCTTTAAAAATAATACATTACGGCTAGACAGTGTCTTAATACGCAGCCCACACAATGTATCGTCTGGGAATGTTTAGGTTGTCGTGAAAATATTTTTAATTTTCCACGATGGAACTGTTCCTGTTTAACTGTCACACACCTAACGCGTCAACAATTAGCACCGAGCAGCTGCGTCGTACGACGCTGACTGAGGTGGCGCTTGGATAATTATTTTACCTCGCTTACAGGTTGGTCCAACAAAACCATCACGGCATTTACATGTGCTGTTGGTGTTATCGGCGTTAAAACATGTACCGCCGTTTAAGCACTCTATATCACATTCCGGCGTTTCTGAAAGACATTACAAAATTATTCCGATTATTCCAAAATAACAAACACCCACACCCACACACACACACAGATATATATCTGTCTCTTATACACATCTAGATGTGTATAAGAGACAGTGTTAATACTCTGTGTATTAAG